TGCTGCTGCTGCTGCTGCTGTGGTAGATGTTGTAGAGACTGAGAGTTTGGGAAAGTGGAAGGAAAGGCTGGTTGAAAGATCTTGGCCTGTTCTGAAGGGTCTAGTGGAGAGACGCTGTCGGCGGTTTTAAAGTCTGTGAAGCCATCATCAGTGCTGACAGACTTGAAATCTGCAAATCCTTCCCCTGTGAACCAAAGACAACAATTTAAGATCATTAAAACATATTTATCACGGCATCAATGGGAAACTGACATGAGACAATAAAGCCTCAGCTGCTCCAGCCACGATTCTGTAATTTTACAATCCTACAAGAAAGGAAGCAGGTGAATAAGTTATAACTCTGTGCTTATGTGAATGTTGTTGGTAAACTTCCTGTCTTGTGATGAGCTGTGGGCTGCAGAGTGTCCAAAGAACAGCACACATCACTGCACAAAAAAGCTACTGCATCTAAAAGACACACACATCCTAACTACCATGCAATGAACTGTTCAAACTAGAACAGAACATGATAAAGCAATTCTGCCAAAAAATTTCCATCTTCACAAGTTATTTTGTCTCCTTATGTTTGGAAATTTCCAAGTGAAAGTTACAGAAGTCAACTTGCTGTGGATGCTATTTCAGCAGTTTTGATTTTCATTCTTAGAAACGTGTTAAAAGTAACCTGAATAAAATGGTTTGGACAGGTTACACTTTAATTTTTAATTAGTCTCGGAAACAACTAGTAATTGTAGTTGGTAGATAAATAGGAAGGGAAAACATCAAAATATATTAATTATGTTGTATACTGTACAGTTATTTGTTCTTTAAAATGGAAAATGTTTGCAAAATATGTTATATAATTTAATATAATTTGATAAGTATTATAAGTAAGTGAGAATGAGTATTTCAGTGAATATTTGAGCCAATGTTCAATAAAAAATAAAGATCTGGATTCTTACAATATATACAGTAGGTTGTTTTACTTTTTTGTTTAAAGAAAGATGAAACCTTAAAATTAAATAGAAATTACCTGTTAAGATGGGTATTTTTTGCAATGAGAAAACTCCTTTTATTCTATAAAAGAGCAGCAGAAACATTTTTTGGAACAGAATCTTTTCGTCTCAAATTTTTGAAACACGCCACTTGGATAAACCACACCGGAAAAAAAAGTTAGAATGCATTCTTGAGTTGTTAATCCAGTGTGGTATAATATATGCATGGACTGAAACAGAGAATCTGTTCACACTGCCGGTGTATGGTGGAGAAGAGATAACTAATGGGCTCATTAAGGAGATGGAGCCTGACAATGCCAAGGAAAGGTCACTGCAAAGCATGACTTACTGGAGTTGTAAGAGCTGTCCCCATCGGAAACTGTTCTAATGAAACAGGGATGGGAAACACACTGGTATCAACACTGCAGGCTTGCAAAACAAGATACAGTGTAAATATGGAACAATAGTGAGAATGGTGATTGTAGTGACCGGACAGCTTTACCCTAGTTATAAAACAATGTTTAATTAGAGGGAATCTAACACCAACACTCTTCCCTACAAATTCCAACCAAAATAACACAACGTTTTCCACAAAGAGGAATTTATATTGTTTTTGAAGGTCTCTCCTGTCCTTTAGCCATGTGGTTGCAGGGACCATCTCAGAGCCCAATTTGGCAGCGAGGCCAATGGGATTCAACTTGGGAATACCAAGAAATGTATTTTGAAAAACACAGTGACTATGCCTAGTGTTTGATGGAGACAGAGAGAGACTTGTGTTAGAAAGGGTGGCAGAGTTTCTTACCGACTGGTTTCTTGTCAGCAGGTTGCTCAAGCTGTCTGAACACACTGTATTTGTCGCCAATATCTGGATCGGAAAAAATAATGAAGAATGAGTAAAGTATGAAGAGAAAATACAATGCATTTAATAGGCAGGCAGGTGATGCCTTAATGCAGTTTGCTATGGCTGAAATGTACTCAATGTATTGCCCAAGGACCAAAACACTGAGTTTATAAGAAGTCAAAAACACTTCCATACAGCTGAAGGTGCCCTCATTTAAGCTGCTTTGGAAATTGTTTTCTCTGCATTAAAATTTAAGTAGATTGAAAGTTGCAGTAGGTAACCTTCAGGGATCAACATTATTTTAAAAAGTAATAAAAATGCTGTGTTGGTGGATAAGGATAACATTTTAGAATTGGAGAAACAGTGGTTAAGTATTCCTCTGCTGTGTCATGGTGAAATGTGTGGGAACCCATATGAGTGATGAGACATCTGAGGTGATGGTGTCAGAGAGGAGCAGGAGGTGTGTCATTACCTCTGCTGCTGTGTCATTATCTCTGCTGCTGTGTTATTTTAATGTCTTAAGATAATTTTTTTTACCCTTCCCTCACCTAGTTTATCTTTTCATGGAGAGCAGACAATGTTCCTAACATGCTGTAGAACCATACGTGAGATAGAGAAGGTACCTGAGGCAGGAGCTGTAGGCTCTGCAGGCTGATCCACAGACAGCTGCTTGAAGACAGCATACTTATCAGATGACGTGACGGAGGCAGAGGAGGAACCAGAGACTGGCGTAAGCATGGCAGGCGCACTGCAGGGACACAATAGCTAGTCAGACATCAGTTTAATCCCCATAAGCTGCCTGAGCTGATTGAACATTTGCCCTGGGCACAGAAAGTTTGGAGAGGTTTTTTTTTTTTGTTAAAAGCTTTTTCGTTCTACATAGTGCTTACAATTATGGTGGCTGTAGCTGATGCAAGGAGAAGGTACTTTTATCAATATCTTTGCTTTATTCATGCAAAGACTGAAAGAAAGTCTGAACCAAACTTGATTGAAAGGTGACTCATATTTGACTGTCTTTATATATACTTGAAATATAATCTAAATTAACAATGCAGTCTGTCAATGTTTTGCATTATGTTGTCTGATATTGACATTTTAAACATCTGTGCTGTCTTTTGAACCAATTCTCCTCCAATTTGGGAACAGATGACGAGAAGTTATGTTGCTCCCAAATGCCCTTCAGCCCAATAAAAATCTGCTCTGTTGCAATTTTTTCCTGTTTTTTTTTTTTTTTTTTTTTAAATTGAAGTCCTTTTTATGCAGTTTCTAACTTATCTCACTAACTTATCTTTATTTTTGTTTTATCAGTAGATGGATACCTCTCATGCCTGCCTGTTAAATATGAAGTTACAGCCTGTAGCTGGTGAGCTTATGTTAGGGAAAGTCTTGAACATGGGAAACAGTGATAAAAACAAAATAAGCCTACCAGACCCTCTAAAGCTCATTAATTTAAACTTTATATCTTGCACAAAAACACCATTTTACACTGGGCAATGTTGCCAGGCAACCACCGACGATCAAAGAAGTTACTGGCTCCAACCAAGAAATAGTCAGGCACACAAACCCCTGTAAAAACACAAATTATTGTTTTATACTTTGTCAAATTAGTCAAACCAGTTATGAAGGGGTTGTATAGTGAGCTTAGGTCCTCGTAGGCAGGTTTTGTTACCTTTATACGGACCCAGGCTAGCTGTCTCCCTTTGTTTACAGTGTTTGTGCTAAACTAAGCTAATTGGCTGTTGACAGTAGCTTTAAATTTACCATACAGATATAACAGTGGGTTCCATCTTCTCGCCACCAGAATATTTCTAAAAACACAACTATTCCTTTAAGTGAATGTTTCTATATATATGTATCACAAGTAAATTCAATTATATAATAAGATGACCATTCGTGTTAGGTTCGGATGCCCCTGTAAGATACAAAAAAAACTAGGCTAAAAATGTATATTACGACTTTGCAAAAGTAGCTGATCTGATGACATACTAGAATCAAGCACAAAGGGAAATCATTACGCTCACTTTCCAGCCCGTTCTCTGGAAGAGATCTGACAGTAAGTTATGCCTGCCAGTACAGGCTGGCAAACCAAAAAGAGGTTTTCATCCTCTCATTTAATTAGACAGCGATCTCAGACTGTGGGGAATTCGTGTTACATTGGTGAAACAGTCAGAAGTGTATGTGTATGTTTTCAGGGGAGAAAAAGGAGGGAATTATAAAACGCCTATGCCACTTAGATGTGAGATACTTTAGTTCTGCTTTCTCTTTGTCTTTCGGCGGATAATTGCCTTTCAGCTTCCTCTCTGTGAAAGGATCGTCTCTCCATATGAGCTTGGAAAGTAATATAAAGAAATGAGCTTATCTACTGTCCACTGAAATTAATTCATTAAGAGATGACCCAAACTCATTGTTATTCTGGGGAGGTTATTATGAGATATTAAGACAGTGTGTCTGACTGTACGGTTTCCAAGACAGACAATGCAAGACACAAATATTATGCAGATTAACTCAGCTATAAATAACCAATGAGGGCTGAATTTTAGAACTTCATCTCTGCAAATATTTCTTCAGAAAATAAGAGAGAAATAATGAGGAACACTTTAGATAATACTAGTTTTTTTAGCCCCCAATCCAAGTCATTAAATATTGAGTATCTGCCAATATAAAGTGCTGATCTGATACTGACACTTTTTTTACATACTGTATTGCACAGTGCACACTTCAAGTACATTAAAGTTTTAAAGATCAATCCAGTGTACATGCCTGACAATTTAGTTCCGCATTTCATTAAGAAACAAAATGCCTGAATCGAAGCTGTTCCTTAATGTGATTTTATTTTTTTACACAATAAAGTATAAAATAACAAACCCTCTCTAAAATTAAAACTTCCTTTTGTAATACTTAAATTGCAAAATAATGAATCAATTCTGCCTCCAATCCACTGCACTCGCACCCTGTACCTGTTTTGGTGCTGAGGTGCGATGGCGGTGGGGAAACTTCCACCAGACTCCCCCTGGAACTCAGTGAATGTCTGGTCTCCTGCTCCTGGCTTTGGAGCCTCCTGGAAGTCCTGGAAATCATCGTCATCGGCTTTGGTTGCCTATGCCAACAACACGTTAGTGAGTAAGACGTGAATTATGATCTAAATGCAGAACTTAATCATTGTAAATCGTACCATTATTACCTGTGCAGGAGGGAAACTGGCGATAAAGTTAGTGTTTGTGGGTGCTTGAGCCGGTGCTGCATGTGTTATGGCCATGACTGGTGGTGCTGGTGTGGGCATGGCCATGGAAACCGGGGGCTTGGTCATCATGGACTGCTGGTGCTGGGGCATGACAGGGGCCATGGCCATAGCCAGGGCCGGCAGGTTGGGCACGGGTGGAGAAGGGAACTGACTGAGGATTTCCACATTCATCGCTGGGAGACCACTCTGAAACAAAGAAGACAGGTTTCAAGCATTTGACTAATGACATTTGATGTTTTTCCGATTAACAACAAATCCAACGTGGCTACTCTGAACTCATTTGATGCCATCATGTGTTCACTGAACAAGGAAAAAAAAAAAAAAAAAAGACTGATGTTTGCATATAAATTATTCAACAAAGTCAAGTTCCTTTTGAGCAGATGTCAAAGGCAGACTCAAACTTTTTCCCCTCACAAAAGAATGCACCTGGTTGTGCTTGTGTTTTAAGGCTCTTGAAGATTTACATCACCAAAGGTGTCTTATTATTCCTCGCATGGAAGCGGTGGCATGCCGTGTTCCGTGAGCTGCCTGCAGATTTGCATCCTCCCAGGGGTGGTGGTGACAGGCCCAGGCTAAGGATGATAAGAAGCCTCCTGCCAAACTCGGCTGATGGGAACTCAGACATATATTGGGCTTACAATGCTTCACAAGCCCTGGGCTGACTCACAGTGCTGCCTCTTTCTCCGTATTTCTAGGTGGGCCTGTCTAATTTCAGTGTGGAGTTCATGGCGAGGCTCTGTGGAAGCCATGGGGGATGATTAGTAAAGTAATTCTAAGTGGATAATTTGTCTTGACTCCGGTGTTTACCTGTGCCACACCAATTAGTGCGAGTACAGTGTAGAGCTCTTCCTTGGTCAGCATGCCAGGTGTTGTGCGGTTGGCTGACGCCCATATTTGCCCCAGTGCTTCCCTGGGAAGACCTGATGACATTAGTATTGGGTAGAGTTTGGCTGTGTCGATCCCTGCCGGAGTCATGGTGAATTCAAGAACCTTCGTGAACATTTCTAACAAAAGAAAAACAGAAAGGAAAATATTCATTTATGCTAGAAATGGAGAGGTAAACAACTAAATTCTCAAATAAACTGGAGATTAGAGTTAGAGTGCAGTTTCATTTTCTTTGACAAAACACACTGTAATGTCAAATATGATTATCTGAAACACTAAATACAAATATTCATGTACAAAGGTTTACCTGGGACGAGGCTGTCATTGTAAACCCAGGCTGGCAGCATGGGCTGAATGTGCTCTTGTTGTGGGTACACGCCAACACCTGCTGTCACAAGCACACGCACACGCACACACACACACACACACACACTTAGTTGTTATAGCAAAAAAAAATCTTGTCCAGGCATACGATTTGCCAAGCCTCTTGGCAGCTGAGCCTGCTTGTATCGAACTCAACAAAATCATACACCTGATGTCTGGAAGGCTCGGTGCAGATGTAATGCTCCCCTGCACTGAATCACGCCGTCCTGCCACGTCAGACATCTATAAATCAGCCTGTGAGCAATTCCAACTTCAAGGGAGAGGGGAGAGAGGAGACTGCCTCATAAGAAAAAAATAGCTAAAACTTCTAATTTAACTGCCGACATTGACCTTTTTTTTTTTTTTAAATAGACTAACAAAATTTCGATAAAAAGCAATAGCTCGTTTTCAGTTCCTAACACTGTCTGCGAGGCATCGGTTACTCAGGCAGCCACTTTGCACCATAACTACTCACCATCAGTCTTGGACAGTTAATAAATAAATCGATTACAAATCTCCGTGGTCTCCATGATGAGCCTCTATATTTCCCTCGATGACACAGAGGACACGACACAGACAAACAAATATACAGCACAAAGGGGTAGCCGAATGGCATGCACAATCAGCCTTGGATTATGTTTGGAGCCCAGTTGGCACCTGCCAATTCATTGCGGCATCCCCTGTTAAACCAAAGCAGTCCAGCATGCGCCAGAGGTCTTCTCTGAGAGGTGTTTAACAGTGAGGGTACAGACGGCAGTTATTTGAGTCAGCAGGTTATTTCCCAGGATTCGACAGACACTAGTCCATTTCCACAATGTGTGCAGAGAGCGCCAAACATGAGAAGGCCCCCCCCCCCAATGAGATTTGGCCTGAAGTGACAGAGGTATAAAGTGGGCAGAAATAAAAGCAGAGACTTGGCTTAGAAAACGTATAAACACCAGGGAGGGTACCCCAAAGACACCGCCACTCCATAATAATCTTAGATGTGAAGAAATGTCAGCAGGATTGAATTTAACAGCACAAACAGCATTAAATAGTATAACGCCCAGTCCAGAATCTTGTATAAACCAATTATGACCCAAAGAGATTAAAGAGAATAGATAAAGCTTCTACCAAAAAAAAAAAAAAAAAGTATAGAATTATTTTGTCAGGGTTAGAAAGAGTGAAATATTTCCCCAGGACAGAAAGAAAACTACGGCCTTGATTGTGTGTTCATACTGCAGCAAAGCAAGGGAGAGAAGAAGAAGCTATAAAGTCTAATAAACAGGCACTTCTCTCACCACTGTCACTACTGGTTTGAGGAGACGAGTCAGCAGCTGATGGGGGGACGCTGGGTGCTGACACCGGGGCCTCGGGTAGCTTTTCTGCGACGAAGACAGAACTCAAGTCCTCAGAGGCCGCAGCCCAGTTCCTGGATTTAGTGCTGGTTTGAAACTGAGCTGAAACTTTAGCTCTAGGACCCATTTTAGCCAAACTCTGCATGGACTTAAAGCTAACATGGGCCGTCTTATCAGCAGTAAGATCGCATGAGGAGAATAGCTTCTCTTCCAGGGACGGGCCTAGAGGGGTGAATGAGGAACAGGTTTCTTGATAACACAGCTGTTAAAGCTTCCTGTTTATCTGAAGTTAAGTTGATGATTAAACTTGTTGCTATATTTAGGGGGATATTAACTAAGCATTTGTCAACATTCAAAGTCAGTTTGTCCTCATTTCCTAAAGAACCGCACCAAGGTTATTGGGAGAAAAGTGGCACCAATGAAAATTGGGTTTGGTCTCATGTAATATGTATTTCTATAATAAGTATTTCTGTTTAGAGGCATAAAATATGAGAAGAGACTCTCAACTAGTGAGTAAGAGAGAGACAGAGAACCATTATTTTTCCTGACTTTAATGGCTCATAGCAGGTTCAGTTCAGTACTGCGGCTGTTACGTGGCTATTTAAAACATATCGAGTAGTTGTTCTATATAGCCAGGATCCTGGAATATTAACGGCCATACTGTCAAAAAAAAGAGAGAGGGTCTATCGTATTACAACTTCAGCAGCAAAGAAAAGCTTTAGTGCTCTTTTATCTCTGCACCCTAGCTTACAGCCTGGCATCAGATCTTATTTAGCGTTACTTTATGAAAATCAGATGAGCTGCTACTGGGCTCATTTACATCTGTAGTCTTAACAAATACCACTAAATGGAAAACTTGCAGTGATGCAAAATGTTGTGCCCCTGGTGAATATTTTTGTGATAGACTTAGTGAATATCCCCCTTAGTGTGTCAATGTTTGGTTTATTATCACACAGTATTTTCTGTACTATATCTTAAATTCCTGCCTGCACATAACATATTAATACTTTATTACTACTGTGTAGATTTTTGATTTTTTTCTTAAAAAAAAAAAAAGGGTTAATTTCCCACATCAAGCCGCAAATTAAATTCTCTTTTCTTCAATCAAAAGCAATCCTGAGGCTATCCTGATGCCATCTAATCTGCTTATTCCAGGTGCTAAACAACTAGGTCAGAAATGTCTCAGGAGGATTGGGGATGACATTCGATGGAGGGCTAGCTGTTGCATTTCTCTGAACAGAAGGTGATCTCTCTGTCCTGTCATTCATAGTCTAGAGGCCGAGAGCTGTCACAGAGCAGCTGCTCATCTGAGAGATTAGACGGCAGATGACACATGAGAGTGACAGTCCTCTATCAGTGCACAAACCATAAACGAATTCAGTATCAATGGTGGATTGAGCTACAATATGGTTAAAACCTACTGTGAAACATTATTTATTTTTAATGATGAAGCAAGTCGGGTTTCTTATTTATTCTGCATCCGTGTTTGCCCAGTTTGTGGTGTCTGGTAGCTTTAAAAGGTTTAGGTAATGAGGCCAGGCCATCTGCTGTGCTGGCTGCATGCTCTCACACTGCAACACAGGCCAAAACCAAATCAAAATCCAGACGTACCCGTGAAAATATTCAGCATTAGCAACAGAGCACTACAAGTTAAACAAATAAAATAAAATCCTCTAGATTCACTCAAAGTGTAAATGGTCGGGTATAAATTAGGATGACGAGAGGGGTGGTGTCAACAAAGCAAAAGAAGAGTTACCTTGAAATGTAGATTGGGAGCTGGTGTTGGCAGCAGAGTGCTGGGTGACAGTGGGGATGGACACAGACGGAGGGAGGGACTGAGGAAGGGAGGGGGAAGAAGAGGACAGACCTGCCCTCAAGGAAGGGGATGAAGGTTGGACTTGGGCCTGAGAGGAGAGGTTGGAGGAAGGGAAAGCATTTACAGGACCCTGAACGAAGTCACTAAAATCGTCATCGTCCTCAGAGAAACCTGTCTTGGGGGCAGAGGATGAAGGCTGGGCCTGAGAGGAGAGGCCGAAGGTGGAGGAAGTGGAGGAAGTGGAGGAGGAGGGCGGGGGGAAGCAGGCGGGGGCTTCTAAAGGCCCCTGAAAGTCACTAAACTCGTCATTGTCCTCAGACAAGGCTGGGGGGAGGGAGTGAGTGGTGACAGACGGGAGTGATGGCGATGAGTCTGCAAAAATGAAGAAATAATGATGATGGCACAACACGTGACACACACTACAATGGAGAATGAATTAAGAGCTGCACATTGCAAGAGTGAGATAAGACTATTTTGTGCAAGACAAGCAACTGTAGAACTGCAAATTCAACCAAAATGTCTTGACATTTAATTAATATTGAAATTTTATGAAATGAAATTTGACTGAGCTACTGATTATCAACTTTTAAAACATCAACACTAGAATATGAGTCTAAAGCAAGGGATCACAATCATAAATCTGAGGAGAATCTAGATGATTGGTGAACATAAATGTATGTTCTTTTTTTCAGTTTTAGCTTCTTTAGTCGCTAGTAATTATTCAAATTAAAGAATTTGTCAGGTTTAAAGGTGCAAACCATCTTTGGTGAAACTGTTTACGACTCAGATGTATAATATTTGTGACAAGGAGCTGCTAGTAGACCCTGTTTCCGTTTAAAGGTCTCACAAGATTGGGAACCTCTGCTGTAAAGCCTTACTTCAGGCAAGGTTTTTTTATGTGCATGACTACAATTTCCTGAAATGCACAGGAATAAGTTAAGTGAGAGAAATCTATAGTTCCAAGACATTGGAAAAAGTTCAGAACGTGAACACTGAGGTTCATAAAGAGATGCTATATTGAAGAGAGAGAAAATTAAGACACCAGTAAAAAAAACAATACTGATAGGTGTACAGATGAAAAGACAAACAGAAAAATAATGTGGTAAATCAAATGTGTTTAACAATCTGTGTTGCTCATTATGTTCCCAGACAGAAAATCCAAATTTTGGCTGCCAGCTGGGCAGCCATCATGCCTATCCACTTCTAATCCAGCTCTTATTCTCAGACGGAGCTACAGAGGGCAGATCTGTTGATGGAAAGGCACAACAGAAAACTCCAGGGATTACATTTAAAAGCGATGAGGTGAAGGTACCTGGCTTCTTGGTCTGTGATGATGGAGTCGGGTGCATCTTTGCGTCTCTGCTGAAGCCATCCAGGTTGCCTTTGATTGCCTCCAGGGCATCGTCGCGGCTCTTTTCTCCTGTCTGAGTACAGAACGATAGAGTATGAAGAGCCCAGAGGGTTACAAAGGTGAGCAGTGGACATGCCAGAAAAATAGTAAAATAAACAAGACGTGAAAAGAGAGACTCACCTTGGGTTTGACACTGCTGAGCAGCCTCAGCTTCTGTTTCTGCTCCTCAAATTGTCTTCTTTTTCTGTCCTCATCCAGCATCTTCTGCTGCTGCTCCAGACGTTTTCTGAAGGGCAAGAAGATTATATGGAGAGCTAAGTAAATAATATTCTTAAATAAGTTGGGAACAGGGCAAAACATTTGGATTTGTTTTATTTGTAACACACTACTTATTCCAATTAATATATTTTAGAATACAGACATGAAAAGGCCAAAAGTAAATAAATAAATAAAAACTCAAAAGAAGAAATTCTGAGGGGAGATTAAGCATGAGTAACATTTAGAGCAAAAAGTGTGTGCAGTTTCATTATTGCATAAATAAATGGAGTAGAAAATGGAAAAACTGAGGCTTTCCAAAAGTCAGTGGGTCCTACTGCTTCCCATTAATGGGACTCATCAATAAAATCATTACTTCTTTTCCATTTAAACATACTACAAGGAGTTTTTAACTGGGTATGAAACTGTCTCAATTTAATACTGATGCCTACTGATACATAAACAAATGAGACCATCAGCAACAATATTTTATATATTTATTAATACTGGCTTGAATTTGGTCAGATTCCCCTTGAAATGAATAAAACAAATCAGTAGAAACAATACCACTTCTGTCCACAGGCGGCGCCAGAACAACAACAAAAAGTTCCTTGTAGTGGCTTTAACTTATACGTAATTACGTAATTATGACCCCTGCTTAATAACTTAAATGTTTAACTGAATTGTTTTTTTTGTGTGTGTTTTTTCCTGCAAGTGTATATATATTAATTTGCATTAATGAAATGCTGGATATATACATTTGGAGAAAATAATGAAAATTATAAATCGCAAAAATAAAACTGACATTTCGAAAAGGCTGTCTTTGTCAGAATTTACAAATCTGGCATTTCATAAGTTGTAAATAATACAAGGGTTTCATTTAACCAGCTGTAGCCATTCAAGCTATTACACATCACATACTATGGTATCAAGTATCAGCATTGTAGCCTTTATCAGATAGTAGACCATTGAGAGCTGACTAGAAAGGAGATAGAGATAGGGTGACATGCAACAAAAGGGCCAGACTTGAACCGGGAACATTGGTCAGCACCTAAAAGCCACAAACCACCAGGACTCCCTCAAATCATAGACATTTAAAACAAAGACATGGTGCAATATATAAACACAATGGACCAGGAATAGATACATACAAAGAAATCACCCTGAAAAGAAGCTTTTTCTTTTATTTTTAAAGAGAAGGGTGAATCATATAATCTTGGAATGGAAAAAGGGCCATAAATGTTTATGACCATAAAGTTATCAAATCAGTGGTAACCCAGGAGCAGCAGTGCTGGAGCTCAAAGTGATTCAGTGTCTTAGTAAAGTGGAAACAATTATAGAGTTTTAAAAAAAAAACCTGCATTTCGGGACCAATGACGTGCAGAAGTCATATCCTTGTAAACACTGTTGTACCATATTACGTTATGTGTTTTAAAAAGCTATCTCCTTGTTACAAAGCTGTATTCTCCAGTTTGTTTCATTAAGGAGGAGAACGGAGGAAGAATGTTGTCTCAGGTAAGGCATGTCCTTGAAGTATGCGGTGTACGTTTGTTTGTGGCCGTTAAAGCAACTACTTTGCATTTAGAAATCCCCAGACAAACAGTAGGCACTGAGATCTCAGACTGTCTGATACTGCGAGACTATGTTGTGCTGTGCTTTTCTTCCTTCCAAAATCCAGAGTGGAGTTACTCAGCTGGATATACTGTACACATGCAGATGTGAGAATTCATGTTCACACACAAACAAATACCAAAAAAACAAACAAAAAAAAAACATGATATTAGTGTAAAGATGTCTTACTGGTGCTCCTCAGCCATTTGTTTCTGCATGTCAGCAGTGTACTGGGGTCCAGCAGGTCTCATACCCATAAACTGCGGCTGACCCAAGAACTGCATCCCAGGGGTCTGCATCCCAATAGCCATCCCACCCTGTCAGACACACAAAAAACATTCAAACAGCAGATTCAGAAATCTCATTAGCATTCGTACTGCCACACTCCTTTCACCTGATAGGAAATGCTCACACCAAGGGATAGCAATGCAATTCAGAATAATGTTAATGGAGTTGAGTCTTGTTAAAAATCACCAGGCTGCAATAAATTCCTGTTAATGTGCTGACGTTTAAAACAGTTTGTGATTAGATTGATTTGGAAGCAAGCAGGGTTAAGAGGGCCCCCGGCCTCCACTTGAATGAAATCAGTTAAATCAATACAGTTTCATACTGTTTTACTATTCTGTATTCATAAATGGAAACCCACATTAGTAAGTTTGTTAAAAAATATTACAAATGCTGATGACAAATCACTAAGGGAGCTATTTCAATTAAAAAAACAAACAGAATCAAGAGAACAAATAAAAACGGTGGGGTGTTTCTGCCAAACATCAAACCCAGTGCAGATACAAAAGCTCACCTGCATAGGCATTGCTCCCGGGGGCATCTGCCCCCCAAAGTTCATTCCCATCATGCCCTGCATGTTTGGCTGCATGACAGGGACCATAGGGAAGCCCTGCTGTTGCTGCTGCTGCTGTTGCTGCATGGGTACCATGCCTGCAGAAACACACACAAACACTGTTACAATGTACTGTAGACATGACATAGAATAGTGTGTTCAGTTATTATCTGAATCATGACACTAAGCTCAATTTAAAGTGCATTGAGGGAAACTGAATACAAGTCTGGAGTTTGGAAAAAAAGCCTCCAGTCTGGACATGATTCAGTATTGCAAATAAATTTTCTGGACAGCAGGAAAAAGACACGAGTTCAGCAACAACTCAATCTGTTTTTCCGGTGACTACTGTGACAGCTTGGAGCAAAACAAGAGGAGTGAGGAGGGGGGGGAATGGAAAAGTGTCTGTTTGTTTTCACAGATGCTGTGTGAGCTGACAGCCAGAGCTGAGCAGCCAGCTCCCACTGCAGCCTCCAGATGATTCACCATGTTAGGGCTCAACCGGGCTGAATAAGTGGCTTGTTTAGGAGGCTGCACACAATCAGCTTGGTCTAAAATGACATGGCTAATGGGAGCATGTAATGACCCCTGAGAGACGCTTGTCCCAGTGGTGTGCGGATGGTTTATCAGGAGTGTTACTGCAAAGTCAACAGTCTGAATATGACAAGCACACAGCTGAATGATGGTACATCTGAGGCCCACAATGCACCACTCTGGGCACGGGTAACAAAAGGTACGGCGCTACAGTGTGCGAAATCCTTGCTGCTATTTACTTCAGCCTAATGACTTATGAACCAATTATTAACAGGAAAGACTAATTAGACACGAAACAGAAAACAATTAGCTATCACTTCTTTATCTTTAATAAGTGAACCCAGTAGTTCCCGACAACTTAATCTGCCTTCGTGTGTGATCGGTGAAAGCGTGAGTTGGTATCGGAATCTACATTTATGAAAAGTTAACATGTATTTACTCGCTTGGGAGTCAGTTTTTCATTCTCTCGTTTCATTTAAATTGAAAGACGTCGACACAATGTGTAGCAACATCTACAAGACAGTTTTTATTCTCAATGGGTCCCCTTTGAAACGCTTCATCCCGTCACTGTCAGAGAAAGAAAACCTTCTGATCATGAAACCGGTCAACTATTTTAAATTAAAAGTCGTAACAGTAATGATGACAGTAGAGTGACTCACCTTGTGGAGGTCCCAGACCCCCTCCAACAGGATACATAAAACTAAAGGGGGGAAGAAGAAATGCAGGTAATGAGATTCAAACTACAGTTAAAGTAAAGAAACACACAGATAATAACACTTTAAGAAGCCTTTGTAACATGACAGCCACGAGTGTATTCAGCTTTAATAAAATACCTGAATTTCTACCCAGTGATTGTTGATATTTGTGCTGTTTACACATTGTTGATTAAAATGAAAATGCCTGCCTGGCCTATAATTGTTGTCGGCAAATGATGAAGAGGATCTGTAGGAATTTGAACTAAAAGCAATGTTTGCTGTTTATAATAATTTGTTTTTGAGCCAGACTGTCTGAATTCGAAACACCAGGTAAAGAAAGGATGTAGAGAAGATGCACTGCAGCAGTTACAGAACGAGCTAAAAGTCGTCTCAGCTTATTCCCACAGACCAGCCTCAAGTTAAATATCCGTTTAAATTTTAACATTAGAGCCAAAAAGCAGCAAACGTGGCGCAGTTTAGTTTCCACAGGCGACTTGGACTTTGTCACTGGGTCTTTGCTGAGAAACAGGCCTTGAAGAAATAATCAGAGGAAGCTGCTACAAGTCGGCCAAGTCTCTGCTCACCAGAGCCAACACACACAGGCCTTCAGCTATTTGTCACATAACTTATTACGACTCAGTTCTTCGGGCTGGAACTGAGACAAACAGAAGAACTGCTTCCCTGACCGACTCAAAGCTAAATTTGAGCATCTAACAGCATCTAACTAATCCAACGGGTGAGTGACATTATCATACTGACAGCTTTAGCACAGACACAACTGTGCTATCAAAAGGGAGGCAGGGAACTCATTGTAACACAGTTCAAGCATTTGCCAATGCAATTACCAACTCCCTGTGCCAAATAAGGAATAATCTTGACTTGAGTTTCACTTTTACATTCATCATTACAAAGAAAAGGTGTATTTTTGTACAGTAAGTGTTGAAAACTGTACACAAAAGTGCAACTAACAGTTATTTTCATGATCAATTAACCCTTCAGAGTATTTTTTGATTCATCGATAGTCCGTAAATTGTCACAATAAGTGAAAAAAAGGTCATTACAAGCTCCTGAATTCAATGTGACGTCTTCTTATTGCTCATTTTGTCTGACCAACAATACAAAACCCAAAGATATTACATTCACAGTGACAGAGAGAAACATCAAACACACATATTTCACACGCTGCTAACAGCTAATTCTTGGCATTTTTGCTGATAAACGACTTAAAAGATTCATCAGTTCTTCCAGTTGTTGTTGGTGATTAATTTTCTGTGAGTCAACTTATCGTTTCAGCTTCATTAAACATGTTCCACTGCCACACACTGTGCCATGATGAATCCATAGATAATTATTACTGTGCATGCAGTGTTACTGTTCTGGTCTCAAAGCTCTCATCAGCATTGTTTCCAGTAAAAACGCTCCCTGATAAACGGCCTGCTTAAAGTCAACTTTACAATGTCATTATATGGCAGTGTTGTGTTTACAGCTCGTTTCTGCTGCCCCCAAGTGGCAAAACAAATACTGCAGGTTTAAATACAGTGAGAAAGGGAGCAACATCTTCAAAGGACAGCAATGCCCCCACAGAATGAGGCTTTGATGCACCAAAGTGATTATATTGTCCTCTATTGTGTAATTTGTCTGCCTTTCATTTCACCATGCCCTGCTCTGAAGATAAAAACTAGAAACCTACATTCAGTGGTTTACATGCCAGTGTGTATATACATTAAATACTGATTTAATGTGCTTTGCTGAATGATAATTTAAAAACATTTAATCTAAAATAGAAGAAGAAGTTGCACAGAGTCCTGATATAACACAACTGGGTGTCACCTTCAGTGGTGATGCTCGACTTGGAGGGTTTCAGACTCTCACATCTGCTCCCTGTAAGATTTGCAGCTTAAAAGGCTTTTATAGGAGCACTACAGCTCTGCAGCAAATAACAGGTCATGGTTGGGCAGATTAACATAGGAGGAGATAAGCAGTAATAGCAGCTGTGGACGGAGGGCAGGCCAGCGACTTGTAAAAAGGCCTGTAATCATCCAACAGTTATCATCAGACTGTTTTGAAAGCTGGGAGACAGACGGCAGGGTTTCAGCCAGCGTCATTCTCAGTGAAAAGGCTCAAATTAAAACTGTTTCAGCTTGTTCAGAAGCTGCTCCTGTTGTGGAATATGCAGACATAAAATCACTGAGAAACACAGACTGAGAGGTTACATAATAGAGTTACTGATAGTTACTGAGCTGCATTTCTCAGCAGTTGTATCAGATAAAGCAGCGCTGTCAGAGAGCTGAAACGATTACTCGATGGGCTGAGTTGATTTGAGCCACATTTAAAGGAGACTTATCACGTGATGTGTGTAATCGAAAGTGGTTGGTTTTGAGTTTGTTTCCAGCAGAAGGACGCAGACGGAGTCAACAAATGTAGTTAAAGAGAATATTAAATCTACAGAAATAAACAGGACAGGTTTGACATTTGGATCTAATATTCTTTTCCATAAAATTTGAAAATGTGCGACTACAGTTATAGAAGTTGTGTTTCAATGATCCAGCTTCTCAGATGAAAGGGTTTGCTATATTTCTTTGTCATTTATTAAAGTAAATGAAAGGTCTTCAGGTTTTGAACTGTTGGTTGAGCAGAACAAGCAACTTAAACGTCTTTTTGAGTTTTATTGTGAATTATATAGTTAAATATTATAGTTACTTGCAGCCCTAAACACCACACAATATGTGACCTGGATCCTGTCAATCCTCATGTGGCAGAATCAACACAGGGAGCCAGTCAAGATTTATTCATTTGGGTTTTTCCAAGTCCACCAGGGCCCTTGTCCTGCTATCATTCATTACCATGGCAAAGATAAACTAATTAAACTATAAACACTACACCGACATAAATTCAACTCCAGCTGTCATAAATTCAATTAAACACATTCCTCATGTTCTCCAGAAACCGATAACGAGCAGATTATATTTCCAACTTGGAAATGTCAACGGTTACAAAACACAGCCCATAATAACACACTCTCGGCAAATAAGTTATTACAATAGGACATCATCTGACACTGGTGAGGCCAAACGCCTGACAGATGCTGTAATCACATGGCCTGTTGAAGACAAAGACATCTGCATCTCTGTCACAGCCTCCATGGAGGAAACACAGCCACTGCAACTTATACTTAACTGCTCAGCTTCATTATATATATATATATATATTTTAATTGATACTCCAAACACAGACAAAGGTGCTTCAGCTGTCAAATAGATTTCGTAAGCTGTGCTACTGCTCCACCTCCTGGTTTCACCTGACACATTTATATATCTGTATTCTCCGGTTTTGCCAGATAAACACTGAAACTATCCAGAACTTCATCCCTATATTGTTTGGCACTATATTTGGCATTTGAACACGCAACAGATGCACCAGGCTAAAAGTATTTGGACTTTAATGGATGAGAAATACTAACACATTCCTGTCATACTGAATCATTGTGGCGTTATTAAGGAAAAGGCACTGACACCCTACATCATATACATTACAACACAAGTCAATAACTGAATTATACGCCAGGTCTTCACGTTACAGATGCTTTTTCCTACTACCCACACTCATCTACAGTCAGGAGGGCTCTGGTTTCACCTGTCAGATCAGTATCACCTGGCTAACCAAGAGCCTATTCATTATTCAAGCTGCTCGAGTTTCAACTTATGAAATAATCATGAGTCTGGCCTTTTCATCTCCTCTGCAGGCGACCACACTGCTCTAATAAGATACCTGTACACCTGCTACACAGGTACATTATGTTTATATACAATGCATACTGGTTAGAGATGCTGTGTGACAGCTGTGTGCTTCAGTGAAGAATCATTCATTAAACACAAAGCAGAGCAGTCTGACTCCTGAGCTGACACATATCAAGCATTTGCAGCTGGTGTGTTTAGAAGAGAAAATCTTTATATATTTAGGAGTTTTTAGGGTTTTTTTGGGGGAAGATATTTACTTCAAACCTGCTTCCCTTTCTTAAATACTCAACAGTGTACCAACATGATGCCAAACAGCAGCACGCCAGCGAGAAAGACACAGTAAATAGACCAAACCATCCTCAGGCCTCTCTGCACAGGTGCTAGCTCTTGTCCAACACCGCTGCAAGAAAGCGCCTTTCTCCACAACAAATACCAAGTTAAATCGCAGGATAGACACAACACCGCCTACAGACGACACGACCCGTACAGTGTGTCACTATATAACATATAAACACAGCCACTGTGGCGTTATTGTGGCAGCACAACCAGCTGCTATCGTTAGCCTGTGACACCTGACAACCAGCCATCTCATCCCGTCACCCGGATAACAACACCCGCCCTCATCGCGCTCTTCCCCGGCTCTTTTCTTGTGCGCTCACCGGCGCTCACCGGCGGACGCTTCACAAACTGTCCCCACTCACAGAGAAAGAGTTTTTTTTGTTGTGGTTTTTTTTGCTGGTTATGAAAAAGGCTGAAATACCTGCTGCCTCCCCCAGATCCCGGCCGCAGCGCCATCTTAATAACAGCAGTCACTAGTGGGAGATGACGTCAGCGGTGACGGAGGGCGGAGGGCGGGAAACTGAGGCCCTGAGTTTGGACTCACAGGAGCAGCTCAGTTCTGCCTCACAGGCAATCCGTGCTCCTATAATGGCTGCTCCACTTGTCACATTTACCCCAAGTGCTACTTAATACTGGTACTTTGTTTAAGCATTTTTTATTTTATACAACTTTATAATAATATATGACAGATGTAGTTTCTACTTGCTTGTATAATATATGTTGTTT